TAGAGGCTGGTTTGATGCTAAGGCGATTGGGTCACCAAACTAGCAATTCCACCACTTAAGAACTTGTCAGGAAAAAAAATTCTAATCGGCGACAACCTCGCAAGCCATTTTAGTCCCAAAACTGTAACCGAGTGTTTAGAACATGCTATCTCATTCATTTTTTGCCGACAAAATCTACACATGTGACCCAACCCCATGATGTGACTTTATTCCTCAGTTTAAAAGAAACATGGCGAAAAATTCTTGAAAAGTGGACAATGGGTGAAGGAGAAGGGCAGCTACCATACCCAAAGATCGCTTTCCTAATTTTTTTAGAGAGCTGATGGACAGCATCAAACCCAAAAAAATAATATTACGTCTGGTTTTAGAAGATGTGGGATCTACCCGTTAGACCGTGATCAAGTCCTAAACCTACTCCCTAGTGCCAACACTGCAAATGTTCAAGAAGTAGAAGAACATGTTAGCAATATAGTGGTTAATATGCTGAAATCCATGAGCGATAGTTTGATATTCCTACACAACGACGAAAAAGAAAGAAGGTCGCCGTAGTTGCTGGTAAAACTGTAACTGGAGCAGACATTAGAGAAGAAACTAAAGACGAAGAGCTTGATTCAGATGCACATAACGACAAAAATATAGAAGAGAATGAATCGAGTGAAGATGAAGACGTCGTTAACAGAAGTGAAGGGAAGGTCAAATCAGATGACGAGGAGATGAATATTCTTTTAAGCCAGATTTCCGAAAATCAAAAACGTGGACAGACAAGTGTTCCTGTTCTTAGTGTTTCCTACAAAGGAAGAATTTTTAAACAAGTTTATCCCGTTTCGAAAGAATCTATTCAACTATCTGATTGGCTGCTGGTTGCGATTTTAACCAGTTTTAGAAAAAAAGAAAGATTAAAGTATTATATTGGAAAAGTTTTGAAAACCATTGATGTAAACGATGACATTTACGGAACTTTTTTGAGGCATCGCCAAACCAAGCAGTCCCCATGGTTTATTTATGGATTTCTTACGAAACCAGACGTTTGCTATTTCTCTTTTGACCAAGTTGTTAGTCAAATTCATCCATCTGATAACTCCGAGCTGCCCATCAGTTCAAATAGGGAGATTCTTAAATTTCCCATCAACCTAAATGATCTTAATTAATGCAATCTGTTATTTTTATGAAGATTCTGTTGCGAGAATTAACGCAATCTAGATTTAAGTTAAAATTTTTTTTATTTGTTCCTACACATGTAATTTTTTGTTCCTATAGTTATAACAGTACAAAAATTATGCTCTTATGAGTCTTTTGTATTCCCTAAAATAAGAAACTTGTATGTTTTCTATATTTTCATACTTAATAAACGATATAAATTCCAAATTTGTAAGTTTATTATATTTTTTTACTAAAAAAATGAATTGCACATGTTACTAATATATTTTTAAATGTGCAGGAAACAAAGCAAAGTATTGATTCCTGCTCACTAGGTCCTTAAACTTATTAGTCATGACACACATTTTACATATTTTTTCGTGGCCGATTAGATAAATAGCAACCTAACTATAAGGCCTGAAAACCTCAAAACTGTTTCTATGAACCCCATTTTACGGTACACCATCTCTAAAACTGCAATAATAACTGGATATCCTTTTAGATGGCTATAGAAACACAAGATAAATGTTAATAATAACAAACCAGGCCCAATAACATTTACCACAAAAAGAAGCAAAGCACCGCAGGTGCTCAAATAACATCCATATAGATACTCAGGCTATCAACAAGCTCAAATATAACAAAGCACCAGGTCCAAATATGATAACAGCAGAAATGCTTAAAGCCACAGAAGAAACCTGCGTAAAGTTACTTCATCTACTCTGTATCCAAATATGGCATTCCAAGCAATGGCCTGAAGACTGGACAAAATCTACAATAAGGACCATACATAAAAAAGGCAGCTTCCATAAATGCGACAATTATAGAACTATCTCTCTTATATCCCATGCCAGCAAGATAATGCTACATACAAGAGATAATGCTAGAGACTGAAAACATTCCTTCAAAGAGAAATTCCACAAGAGCAAACTGGATTTACCAAAGGTAGAGGCACTCGAGAACAATTGCTGAATATAAGACAGATAATCGAGAAATCTAGGGAATTCAACATCCCACTATACATCTGTTTTACAGATTACCGTAAAGCGTTCGACAGGGTCAAGTGGAGACACTTATGGCGAATACTAAAAGAAGTAGGCGTACCACAACATCTAATTACGCTTATAACTGAACTATATGAACACACTACTGGATCAGTTAAAGTACTTGACACACTTTCGAACGAGTTTCATCCAGAACGGGGTGTCAGACAAGGATGTATACTATCTCCACAATTATTCAACATATATGGAGAGTATATTATGCGAAGAGCACTTGAAGGATGGGAAAAGGGCATCTCAATAAATGGTCATAAACTAAACAACCTACGTTTCGCAGATGACACAGCCCTTCTTGCAAAGAGTCAAGCAGAGCTGATGGAACTTATACGACTGATCGAAAACGAAAGTCAAATATTTGGTCTGCAATTATACATATCAAAGACAAAGATCATGATAGTGGATAGACTACACAACAATCATCCACACATAACCACAATTGACCGGTTCGAGGTTGTGAGCTCATAGTTATATCTGGGATCATTAATCACAAACACAGGATCATTACAAGAAGAGATTAAACGTAGATGTGATCTAGCAAAAGTTGCCACAGCAAAAATGACCAAAATATGGAAGGAATGTCAAATTTCAAGAGCGATAAAGATGAGTTTGATCAACTGCTTAATATTCCCAATACTGACCTACGGATATGAATCTTGGAGTTTGAGACAATCGGAGAGAAAAAAGATAGACGCCACTGAAATGTTCTGTTGGAGACGAATGTTACGAATTCCTTGGACCGACCGTAGAAGAAATAATTCAATTTTAAGAGAGCTAAAAGTTAGCCAACGACTCTCTAGTAAAGTCCATCTAAAACAATTAAAATATTTTGGGCATGTTATGAGCGCAAACACAGAAAACATGGAAAGACTCATAATACAAGGAAAGGTAGAAGGCCGAAGGTCACGAGGAAGATCCCCAACAAGATGGATAGATCAAATTACAGGAATATGCCAAAGACCTATACATGAATTAAAAGAAATGACCAAAGACAGAGATCTATGGAGACGGACAATACACGACATCACGTCGACCACTACACTCCCCCTGGGGGGTTAGGATTGAAGAGAGAGAGGTACTCATGAAAACTTGGATAAGAAACTGACATGGAAAACAAAAAGATGCCTACTTACTTGATCTAATAATAAAAAATATGTATTGGCTTTTTAATAAAAAGTTCAAACTATTTCTTTAAAACAAACTAATCATCTACAAATACATTGTTAGGCTGAAGCATACGTCCATGGGCTGAAGCATACGTCCATGGGCTGAAGCATTCAATCAAACACCAAAATACTGCTACTAATTCCAATCTAAGAGACTTCGTATGATATTTGGAGCCCATTAGTATGTAAAAGATTCCAAACCTTACATGAGGATCTCAAAAATCCCATTACTAAAAGATGTAACAAATAAAGAAAAAAAGTCCTAGATCAGGAGTGACATTGCATTTTTTATGTTCTACTAACCACCATTACCTTTGTTTTGTCTATATTAATTTTCAAGCCTAGTCATTTTCCTTCAGTGTTTATTCTATCTATTGGTTGTTGAAGCACTTCTTGGCTATCAGCTATTATGACTGTATCATCAGTATAGCGAAGATTACTAATAGTCTCTCCCTTGATTTTGATTTCATCTTCAGTGTCACTTCGAAAATCGTTTTAAAGTAAAGATTAAAAAGGAGGGGTGACAAAACACAACCCTGTTGTACACCTTTTTCAATTGAGAGATATGATGTAGATTCCAGTCCTACTTTCACAGATGTCACTTGATTCATTTAAAGGTTCTTTATGGTTTTAAGATCATTCTCAGCTATCGAATGTTCCTGTAGCAATCTTACTAATTCTGAATGATTAACACAATTGAACACTTTCTGGTAATCTATAAAGCATAGGAAGACATATTTTTGCTGATCTCTGCATTTCTAAAGTAGGACAGTTAAGTTATAAAGTGCTTCTCTTGTGCCAAGTCCGTGTCTGAAACCAAACTGTGTGGGGCTAATGTCTCTTTCACATCTGATGTGTATTCTTGTGTGAATTATCTTTAAAAGGAGTTTTAAGACCTGACTCAATAAGCTTATCATTCGGAATTGATTGCAACTATTAGCATTTGCCTTTTTTGGGATTGGTATAAAGGTTGATTGAAGCCAATCCTTTGGTATTTGACCGGACCCACAAATAGCATTAAAAAGATCTACCAAGGCGTCTATATTGTCTTCACTCAACATTGTTAGAACCTCTATGTATATGTGGTCTATGCCTGGTGCTTTTCCCCATTTGCTCTGTTTGATTGTCCTTACAACTTCTGACTTCAATATTTTGGGGGAGGGTTCACTTTTATATACACTTTCAGAGTTTCTTCTACTGTTGTCTGAGTATACCTGTTGTGTGATGTTTCTCCAATGTTGAAGTAGATCCTTTAGATCAGTAATTAATTTATTGTCCTTCACAATACTGTTAAAACTGCTGTAACCTGTATAAGTCTATTAAAATTGCCCTTGTTTATTTATTACTCTAATATTAGGGAGGTAAGTTGAATAAACAAAGAAAATCAGTTTTGTAGTCCACATAACTTTACAGATTGTATGATGGTCATTCAATTCCAAATATTTGTATACAACATTGAGATGCAGAAAGGTATTCAAATGCTAAAACTATTGAAAATGGTTGGTGTGTTGTAAACAATAATTTAACTACAGAGGTACTCACTGGTTATTTTTTTAAAATAGTTATTATAGATAACACATAATCACAAATAAATTAAATTCATAGGTGTGTTAGGAAAATAATACAAAGCAAATTTAATGAAATTTGTAATGATAGGAGTGAAAAATTATACAGATTATCAGTAATTTTTAAATATATACATTAACACATTGTCTTTAAATTATAAATATATAGCTCACAATTATTCTGAAAGAACTATTTACTCTTTTTGAAATGTTTGAAAAGGTCTTTGTAAACCATGTCCTAGTAATTTTGCCATTGAGTTATGCAACCTTAAAGCACTTCTGCCCACTGGAAAAAAGTATGATATACCTTTTCGATCTATATTCTGTAAACATTCAAATATTTTACTACAATAATTACTATTATCAACGGGTTCATGGGTCATTAGTATATCACAAATAAAAAACGGATTGTCCAACAATTTCACAATTTCTTCTGAGAAATTAATTTCTGGTATTGTGTATGATCTTCCATAGCACATTATTGTACGAATGATATAAGGTGGAGCGATTTCATCTTGAGGTATCTTAATGTTGGGTAAAATTTCTTCAAAGACTAAATTCATGTTAAATGTATCTTCAACTTCACACTGTGTTATTTTTTCAATACAATTATTTACTTTTCTCAACTCACTAGTGAAAGGTAGTGACCATGTAGCAGTATTTTCGTTCAGAAGAACAATAGCAAACTCATGATTCTTATTAATTGCATGTTTCAGATTTACAAACAAATGTAAAGACTTTCTGAGCATTGACAATGGTGTGTATTTACCGTTTGCTTCTGCAAAATTGGTGCAATTTTCGTCTTGGGCTCTATCTATAACTAAAATAATTTTTTCAGGTACATTTATGTTTGGCAAAGAAAATTTGCTACGTTCTTCAAAAACATCGTATTTTTTAAGATTTTCTTCTAAATCTTTATTTTTGGAAATAGGTTTTATTAAAATGACAAGCTTTTGCCCTTTCTCATTATCTGGAGAACTTTCTTTATGGTTTGATTTATCTTCTTTGGAATTTTCCACACAACTCTTCACTTCTTTATTAGTATTTACTATAGTACTATTAGTACCAGATTCATCGTTAGAATTATCATCATCTTCCATTTCTATTGGAATTATACGTTCTGCCATTTTGTTGTTTTTATTTAAATGTGATTATGGCTAATATAATTTGAGAATTATTGAGAAATACAAATCACTCAAATTTTTTTTATGTTTTGTTTACGTTGAATTTCTTTCTTCTTCTTTTTAGCAATTATTTGGTTTGGTTCTTGACAGTTGACACTGAAGAATAAATGTTAGCCAGAGATATGTAAGAGAGTTTGCACAGCATAAGGAACAAATTAACAACAATTTGTGCCTATACTGTAGTGTTAGGAACAGTAAAAATTCCAATTTCTAGTATAAATGAATATTTTGACATTTTTCAGATTTGGTCTCGGTGAAGATAGCCTCAATTTAACTGTCAATTAAGTGTCATAGAACATAGAACGAAATATTGACGTTGGCAGTGTTGTCGAGTCCGTATAATGATATGTTATATGCTTTAAATACAAAAAGCGAAAGACAGTTTTTAAAAAGTACAGTTTTATTATATTTATTTTATGGACCCTGCAATTTTGTAATTTATATAAATGAATAAATCGTTATCTTAATGGAAAGTACAAGAGCTGTCTGAATATAGCTGCCAATGTCAACCATGAAACAAATTTTTTCGGATTGGCAATGTTGGCATGTTTTTATAATGTTTAAGTTGTATGCTACAAATATAAAAAGACAAAGCTTTAGAAAAGTATATTTTAATTATATTATGTTATGAATTCTGCAATTTTTAATTTATATAAAACAAGAACGAGTAAATATTTTTTTGTTTGAAGGTTCGTTGCATTTAATTTTTAGAAATTGTTTTGGTAATTGCCCTTTGATAGATTAGCGGATAGATTTGGCAATCCTTAAACCACCAGTTGCCAGAGTGCAATAAATGTTTTCAATGGACCGCAGGAGTGTGACGTCACATTATCATTATTACTTTCCAAACAAACGTTGAAATGTCAAATCTCAAGACTTTTTAATTCCTATAAAGTTAACATTTTGCTTCCTCTGCTGCTTTTTCTTGTAAGTATAGTGTTTTTACGATAATACCGTCATAATTCAGAGTTCTATTTCTATGAAATATGGTTTAAAAGTTTAATTAAAGAAATTTTAACCTTACTTTATGGATACTTTCATTTTATTCCTATTAGCATAAAACAATGTGCTTTATTATTTACACAACCTTGTAAAATTGTTGTAGTAACTATTAGAATACTTAAATATTGCAAAAAGCAGAAAGATTCTATAAAATAAATGAAAAAATAACGAAAAATACAAATTATCCACACTAAAAAATGTTTGTTTGGAAAGTGAAACTGGCAGATGTCAATCAAATCTACGTCATCACTCCTGTGGTCCATTAATCTCGAAAGAGACAAATATTTACTCGGTATTATTTTATAAATATTATAAATTGCAGAATTCATAACATAATATAATCAAAATGTACTTTTAAAAGCCTTCTCTCTTTTAATTTGAAGCATACAACATAGCCATTATAAAAACATGACAACACTGCCAAACCGAAGTATATTCTTGTTTCATAAACCACCAGTTGCCAGGTTGCAACAGATGTCTAATATACCACAGCCACCTAAAGCTTACAAGCCGTGAAGTGAGAAAATTGGCAACGTTGGAGGTAGTCCGATAGTGGTCCTATAGCCCTGTGTTTACTTATGAGATTATGCTAATTTTGTTTGTATTTCTTGTATAATTGGTGAATTATTCGATTAAAAAAAAAGGTATGTATTTTTTACGTATATTGTAATAATTGTATGAAGCATTAAAGAATTAGATATATATATTATTCAGACAAATAATACGTACAAACTGTTAAATTCACAAATTCGCTTTAGTAATTACAAACCCCAAGTCGATGTTAATTTATTGGCACAGGGAGTAGTAATATGATATTCTAACATATTTTTTTAATTACAGATGCCGAGACACTGCAGTGTACCAAATTGCAAATCAAATTACGCAACTACTTTAAAGTATGAAAAGGCCCAAAGTACATTCTCTTTTCCCAAAAACGATCACCTTCGTACTCAGTGGGTTAGATCTATTAACCGTGAAGATTTCAGAGTAACTTCTAGTTCGGTAGTATGTAAAAAACATTTTGATGCAACGGATATTATTGAAAGTGAGTCATTCATTGATAAAAATGGTACGGTTCTTCAACGAAATTTGGTTTATCCCAAGTTGAAAGAGAATGCGATACCAAGAATTTTTGAAAACCAACCGTCATATTTATCTAACCCAAAACCACCAACAAGAAAAAATCCTGAAACTAGGCGAGCAGAAATAAGTCTCCGGGAAGAAAATAATATAAAAGAACTCGAAAACAAAGACCTTATCGTGGATTTCAAGGAACTTTTACAAAGTGTTAGTGAGAGGGTTGAGTTAAAAAACTGGCAAATAAAAGTTGTAGAAGAAAGGATTTGTTTTTATTTATTAAATATTGACAATCAGTTTAGTGATGAGTGTATAAAAGTTATTTCAAACATTAACATTACGAAGGAATTACTTGTATCTGTTTATGTGAAGGACATCCAACTGTCACCTCATGATTTAAAATGTATTTTACCATTTGACTGTAAGTTATCGCGTTGGTCACAACTAGAAAATCTGCTGTCCAGGTATTCTTTTTTTTTTGAAAGTCCTATTGACAATAATTTTAAAATAACCAAAATATGTAGTGAAATTGACAGAGTCATAGAAAATACAGATGTAGATAAAATGAAGGGAGTTCTGGCTTTTGTGAAAAATCAGTTACTGTTACTAACAGCAAGTAGGGCAAAATATTCTCTACCAACAATTATTTTTGCTCTTACCATATATAATCAGTCAACATCATGTTATAATATTATTCAGCAGTACTTAAATTTGCCCACTAAAAGATATTTACAAATGATAACATCATCCTTTCATGTATCTCCTGATGATCAATTAGAAAATAATTATTTATCATATCTTGCTTCAAATCTGAATGATCGAGAAAAAATAGTCAATTTACTTGTAGATGAAATATATGTAAATCCTGGAGTTCATTATCACTCAAAACAAATTACTGGTTTTGCTGCCAACAATGATAAACAATTAGCGAAAACTATTCTAACGTTAATGATTTCATCAGCATTTGCACATTTTAAAGAAGTGGTGCGTTTAGTACCTGTATGTAATATTGCTGGTAATGAACTCAAAGACATAGTTCTTGAATCAATTCAGTATATTCAGGACTGTGGATTTAAAGTATTGTGTGTAATTACCGACAACAATCGTTTAAATCAAAACATGTTTGGTCAGTTATCTCCAAATTTTTCCATATCTAATCCTAAGTTTAATAATGAGAATATTTATTTATTATATGATTTTGTACATATTTTTAAAAATATTAGGAATAATTGGCTTAATAAGAAAGACCCAGAAAAAACCTTTATTTTTCCAGATTTTAATAATCATTCAGTTCTTCGAAAGGCATTTTTTAAGGACTTACAAACATTGTACCAAATTGAGATAAACTTTTTAACCAAAAGAGCATATAAACTAAATCATAAATCTATTTATCCAAATAATTTTGAAAGACAAAAAGTGTCTTTGGTAGAAAATATTTTTCATGAAAGTACAATAGCTGCTTTACAGTCATGTAGTATTTATACAGACACAGCCTCATTTTTAGAAATTATTAGAAGTTGGTGGAACATAATTAATGTAAAAACTAAATTTAAAGGACAGGCAAAAAGGAATGATTTGGCTACCCCAATTTTTTCAGATAATGATTTCAAAGTAGTTTTTTTAAAAAAATTTGTGATGTGGCTAGATTCTTGGCATCAAATTCCTGAAGGCTCTTCACTTACAAATGATACATACCTTGCTCTTAAAAACAGCACATCAATTTTGATCAAAGTAATAGAGTATTCATTTAATCATTTAAATATAGAATTTATATTACCTGGCAAATTCCAAACGGATAATTTAGAAGAAAGGTTTGGTCGTTATAGGTACCTATCTGGCTGTAATTATAACATTTCAGTTACTCAAGTGATTGATTCAGAAAAAAAAATTCGAATACAGAATATTCTGAAATCGTCTGTTACTAGTGATTTAACACAATTAAAATTTCAGCCACCTGATGATCTAAATTGTGCAACACTTAATCAGTTCATAGAATGTTCAGAATTTACTTCTATTTTTAATAGTGATTATCTGCGTACATACAATTGTGAGGAATCAAGTCAAATATATATTAGCGGATATGCAGTTCATACTGTACAAAAAACTCTTAAATGCCTTACCTGTAGAGATCTGATTGTACAAAGTATAGGTGATAAGGTAAATGATGAATATTTTGATTATCTGCAACGAGGTGGTTTATCTGTTGCAACAAATGAAGTTCATTATATTTATTATCACTCGTGTGCTCTTTTTGAATACATAATTAAACATCCAGAAACTATGTCACTGTTTTTGTCTCATAAAAATCAAAAATATTTATTGGCTTCTTTAGCCCTCACGAGTTTGGAAAGTGACAATTTTTATATTGATTTTTCTAAAATTTGTGTTTGTGGAACAGCTGTTAGAGAATTATATTTTAAAATTTCTGTGATTTTCTCCAATACTTTGTTAAATAACTTCACAAAAAACAAGAATAATGAAATTATGACAAAGAAACTAACTAAAAGTTTATCTAAAAAGCGCAAGCTTTCAACTTTAAAAAAATAAATACCTGGAATTTCAATAACATTTTTTTAAGCCACTCTTAATAAATATAATATTCGCTCAAGGGATACTAGAATTCAATAAACTGCAAGTTGTTTACAAAAATATTAAAAGAATATTTTCTTTTTTTTTAACGTAAATTATGTAAATAATGTAAGCTGAATGCACTTGTATTACTTTTAAATTCTATTAATATTACACCTCATTGTATTCAATGTTTTGCAGTTTTAATAGATGTGATATATATATATATATATATATATATATATATATATATATATATATATATATATATATATATATATATATATATGTACCTTATCAAACTATTTTGTTCGATTTTTTTACTTAATTTTAACTTTATAGCGAATATTATGATGTTCCTCTTTTATTTATTATTTTGATGGGCTCTTTA